ATACTTGAGCCCATATACAAGCCACAATTATAGGAAACGTACGGGCCACTACAGGAGTGCCCAAATTCATCCGACTAGAAACATTTCTACTCCATTTTTTTTCGGGCGGCCTATCATAGCTGGGCCAAGTACTGGTGCAGTCTGGTGGTTTGACACATCCTTGTTCACATAGACTCACTCAAGGAATAACTCAATTTGAAGCACCAGTATATGCCAGCTATCGGCTGCGGCGGGCCCCTTTCGGACGCCGCCCAGTTTATCTACGCCGCTCGGCCTCGTAAAATTTCGGAGCGGCTCAAAACAGGTTCTCCGGTTGCCTCCACCAGGATAGAGGCCTTGCACAAAAAAAAAAAAAAAAAAAAAAAAAAAAGGGTTCTCCAGTTGCCTGGGGCCATGTACTGGTGGTGTAAGCTGTCCTACCCCCGAACATAACGCACCCTGAAAATGAAAGTATACAAGCTATATTTCCGGCCAGATACACCCAAAATGAGGGTGCGTTGTGTTCGGGGGAAGACGGTAGACCTATTGGCATCAGCAGATACTGGACTTGGACTCTCGAATCAAGTTGTTCAATAGTGGCGTATTCTTTATGACCAAGAAGAACATAAAAGTCTCTAAGGTACGAGTATTGCGGCAATATAACAAGGACATAGAAATTCAGCAAAAAAAAACTAACGCAACAAGGTGCACACCACACAACACAGACATTAAAAAAAACACTCGTTAGTATTTGCAATAAATTCTTTTTTTTTTTTTTTTTTTTTTTTTTTTTTTTTTTTTTTTTTTTTTGCAGGCCTCCGAATTTCAAGTAGTAGCCTACTACCTTAAGTGTCAGGAGGCTGCGCCCACCGTCGATAAAATCCATCGGCGGCATTGGTGCGTAATAGGCCTCCAGACTTCGCCGAGCCTTGTCGGTGTGGTGGTTTAAGATGGCAAGGAATTAGAATCAGTGGGAAAGTATCAAGGTACGTAAACGGAAGGACCAACAATAGACACGTTCTTCTGTACCGTGGTTCGAACTCTTTTGTTCTCTTTTTTTTTTTTTTTTTTTTTTTTTTTTTTTTTTTTTTTTTTAAACAATAGACACGTTCTTCTGTACCCTGGTCCGAACTCGAGTTTGTATTTCAACAGTTCAGAGTAACTGTTGCGTAAACTGAGGTGGGCAGGTTGGTGACTCAATTGAAATTTTATATACAACACACTAACAAAATTTGAGACCTACAAGCCTTGTACGAGATATACGTATGTTCAAGAAAAAAAGGTGGAAAGTGGCAGCTCTGAGATAAAATCCCTTCGTAATGCTTGTACTTCTACTAAGTGGTCCCCATAGGTTCAGCGTATTCGTTTCCCGGTATTCGTGGTAGCATCGTGGTCCCCATACGTTCAGCGTATTCAATCCGCACGCTAACCCCGACCCCAGCATAGAGCGAAAACCCCAATTCCACCCATACCACCCTGGAAGCTACGATAAACCTACTGACGATCACCTCCCTGTTTGTGAGGAATTCCCAGCCTCATGTTTTTTCATGATCATCAACTCCTTGTGTTTTTCCAACAAAAAAAAAAAAAAAAAAAGAGACCGACTCAAGTGTTTGATAAGTGCAACTTCCAAAGGTGGGACCTCAAGAACTCCCATTTCGTTGAAACTAACATTTTTGTTTTTTTGAACGAAAATGACACCGAATAATTTGGCTGAAGGAATAGGAGGGGAAACCAAACCAATCCTCCTTCACCGACGAAGAAGCAGCCGAACCTATTGTAACCGTGACTATCTACATCCACAACGGGTTAGTGCCACCACGCTAACCCCGACCCCAGCATAGAGCGAAGCCCCCAATTCCACCCATACCACCCTGGAAGCTACGATAAACCTACTGACGATCACCTCCATCCCCAAGAGGAAGACCTCTCCCTGTCCGCTCACTCCCTCTGCCAAGAGGAGACCCCACGCCAAAACCTTTTCGGTTTTGGACGCCCGAAACTCGGCCGTTTTGGTACTACCGGCCCAAAATCGGTAGAAAGAGCCCACGCCAAAACCTTTTCGGTTTGGGGCGCCCGAAACTCGGTCGTTTTGTACTACCGGCCCAACTACTTCCATGTGGGGTACTACAGGCCCACGCGTCGCTCCAAAGGCCCCACCGGATCATGAATCTGGTGCATAACAGCGCCAGATTCCTTTTGATGTAAATTAGAATGAGGCCCCACCGAAGTATAGAATGAGGCCCGCAGACGGTATTTTGAAAAAGAAGGGCCCTACCGGTTCATGAATCTGGCACAAAAACAGGGCCAAATTCTTGAACCGGTAAAAACAGGCCCAGGTAGATGTGGCCACGGCGCAAAGGCGCCTTTCACCCAGGCTGAAGACGTTTGGGCCGGTAGTACCAAACGGCCGAGTTTCAGGTGCCCAAAACCGAAAAGGTTTTGGCGTGGGCTCTTTCTAGCAAGTTTCTACCTATTATCCCAACCCCTTACCCCTCACTGACCCCAGTCCAGGACAGAC